GGATGCAATGTCCTGCTTTCCTCTGGTGTCTGAACATGTGTTTGAGAAACTTTTCAGTGAGGTCCCCACTTGCAGTCAGTGCAAGAGCAAGAAAGGTTGTGTGAGGGAAGAGCAGCAGGGCAGGATGGGACTGGGGCTTGGATAGCCATGGATTGAAGCAAAGGCAACCTTCCACTGGACAGGGAGGGAGGAGCCTGCCAGGATACCAGGCAGGGTTGGATAAAAGGAAAACCAGAGGAAAACACCTCATTCTTGACAGTTCTTCACCAAAAATAAAACTGCTTGCAGTATGTTATTTTACTTATACCTTTGCTTTGTTGTTGTTAAAAGTGACAGACAGGCCTCTTCCAGCTTTGCTTTGTGGCTTTGGGTGATTCATTAAACCCTTCTTTGCCTTGTTTACCCTTCTTGTATAAAGCAGAAAGTTGCACAGGGACTCTGTTGATGGCTGTATGTGCTTCCTGCCCTTCCCTGGGAAGCTGCCATCCCTCAGAGGGGCAGCAGGGCACCAAAAACCTGCCCCTGGCTCTGCTGGCCCCACACCTCTCATTACTGTGTGGCCTGTGCACTGCTGTGTGTCTGAACAAAGCTGGGCAGGAAATGTTTTTCCCAGCTAGAGAAACATTTTGTTCCCATTCTGTGTTTGAGCCAAATGGGGTTTTCTTGAGGTCTTTTTTTTCTAAACAAAGGAATAAGTAAGCAAACACGTCTGCAAGAAGCTTATTGGAACAGCAAAGGACAGCCAGTGGATTTGTTGAACAGGACTCCAACAAGATATGAGAGTACAGTTCTATGACCTAATTCAGGCTTGTGACTTGAAACCAGATCTTGCACACACAGATCACCAAGTCTCAGGCAAGGCTGGGATAGTGCTTTCTTTCCCTAGAAACTGCATCCCCGGCAGAAGTTATTCCAAACTGAGAACTCCCACAGAAGGTTTCTGTTTTGATAACATGCCATTTTCCAAGGAAAAACATTTCCATCTAAAGGCTCCCCACCCTGTTTGCCCACAGACTGACAATGTTAACTTGGATTTCAATCCCCAAGGGACTGGAGGATGTGTGTGCATCAAAGACAGCCTGCCCAGATTGTGGAGAGGGGCACACCCAGCGAGGGCTCTGCCGCTCTCCTTGGGATTAGGGCAGCTCCCATTGGTAATGCCACTGTCTGTGGGAGGGGATGTGGGACTGGGATGGACTGTGGACCCCGGGAACTGATGGCTTTGCTTCCCTTTACTGGCTTAGGGACCCACATCCCACAGGTAGCCAGCATCTTGCCTATCCTAGAGGGTAGAATATGTCTCCAAGGCACCCTGTACATCAAATAAATAACAGCTGAATTCATGGGCCAGGCAGTGTTTTATCCCAGAATAATGCAGCAAACTGCAAGGCATGTTTACAATGTCCTGCCTGTTTCCACCACCACTTCTAGGGGCTTGAATTTACATGGCATGGAACACTATCCATCCAGGAAGGCATTAAAGAACCGGGTACAGTGAAATTCTGCAGGTGTGCCAACCCTCTGTTCTTAAAGGCAGCCACTATCCAGGTCACAGACACTGAAACTAAGATCACTAACGGGGAAAAATGCCTTTCAATGCACTGTCATGTTCTGCTTGCTTCTCCTCCTGTAGGCAAGGCTCAGCTCTGGCAGACCAGGATGTGAACAGCAGCTCTCCCCAGCTGAAAGGGCAAGAGCTGCTCTGAAGAATAACCCTGCTCTGCACAACGTGCCTCTGTCAGGGTTCCCTCTGTTAAGATGAAAGGAAAGGCATCAAAGTGCATCTACCTGAAGAACCAAGGCAGAATTACCTATCAAAAATTTAGGATTATAGGCTCAACTGGTCTCTTCCACCTTTGCTGAGGGAGGCAAACAGGCACCTGCCAAAGGAGGTTTGTGAGACTGAGGTTTGCACAGATAGGGTGAGTCAGAAAAGCCCAACTCTGCCGTCCCTGAGCAGAGCAGCCCAGGAACTATCCCAGAGGAGACACTCAACAGTCAGGCTGGAGACATCTGACCTTTGGCTGAGGCTAAAAACAGCACACAGTGGAGGATGCAATTCCAGACCCTGACCAACAGCCATTCCCTGCCTGGATATGAGACTACTTAGGATGAGCAGCAACAGATCAATGCCACGAGGGTGGGAGATGCTCTGAGGGATGGCCAGGCAATCCCTGGGTCAGGCTCTAGTTGATGCAGGTTTCACAGGCTGCACTGCCTTGGTCCTACAAAACACCCAGTGCCTCGGGGAGGACATAGCCCTGGTATTCTGCCCAAATTCCTGCAGGTTACTGCTTTCCATCCCAGTTGTCTGGTATTTCCACCAGACACAGCAATATTCACTCCCTTATGTTAGGATTATTTTTATTTAGTTATGGTCATACTGATGCAACTGCCTTTGGAAAGCTAAAAGCACTTTGTTGGAAGTTAAATGACCTTTTCTAGCCCTACTTCAATTCCCATGAATGTAGTGAGGCTGAGATATTTCTTAATATTAGTAAAGAGCTTTGAGTTCCTTGGATGGAATAACTGTCATGGAAAAACAAGTTGTTTTATTATGAAGAGGTTCTAGTCCAGTTAGCAAATGGCTTTTCCCATCTGCATGAACAGAACATGCTGTTGTGTCAGGGAAGTCTGCTGTGCTTTGGAAAAGCTCTAACAGGTTGTTTCAGGCACATGAAGATGCTCAGGAACAAAACGTGCCCTTCTTACAACTGCGGGGTTTTATTTTGCATATTTTGAGGGAGAAAATAAAGAATTAAAAATAGCTCCCAGGACAACTTGACCAGGTTCTCACACCAAATTCCTTGTGAAACCACACACTAGATGCATTTAATCTCAATTAAAAGATCAATTACGTTTATCAACAGATAAAAGATTATCTGGGGCATTACGCAAATACAACACAATTTATTATCATGTGGTAAGTAACCTCCAATGAATTCTTAAACACCTCCCCATAAATCACAAATAAACTACAGTCCTATAATTATATTGGAGCTCTTATTCTCCAGTTAAGTTTCTACAAAATTGGTCTTTACCATTATCCATAACTATTTAGAATTCTGTTACTGTAACATAGATCTGGGAGGAGTTGTGTGTTCTAAGGTTTCATTTTAGGCATAGAAAATGCATTTGCCATCTTAAGAATTATCTGAGCATTTCTGTGAAAATCAGCATTAACCAGTGACATCAGGAGACGTTGAGAAAAGTGTTCTTGATTTAACACTGTGCAAGAGAAATGATACTTCTTGTTCAAAAACCTGGAAACATCTGAGGCTATGCCGTATTCAGTTGGTTGCTTGAATTTGGGACATTTCTACCACAGATGTCAATTCCGATTTTCTGAAGTTTCCTTTGGATTTGTAACTCTCAGAACTGCACCTGTACCTCTCCCTTTGCTCAGTGCATTTCAGTGCAGCACACACACCTGTTTCCAGCATCTTCAGCTGGGCTTAAACCACGACAAGAATTTAGAAGTGAACTAAATAAAGGCCTGAAAAACTCCCTCATACCCTGAGCACAGTCCAGTATCACTAAACCCTCAATCTACATGCAGCATAAGGTCTAATGCACCTGCTCTCTCTCTCTTCTTTTGAAAACAAACTGAACAAGACTAACAAAAAAATACATTAAAAACCATGTAACTGGTATGGGAATAGAATATGTGCTGCGAAGTTTGATGTGAGCCTGAGATTCCTCATAGGCACAGGAAAAAAAATGGGAAAAGGAAGGAGAGACATCACCAGCTGAAGAGCTCCCTGGGGGACAGAATAACTCCCTCCCCATCACCTGAGTCTGGCTGCATTTCCAGAAGTGCCCCCTACATGCTCTGGGACATCTCCTGGGATGCCTGGCACTAGCTAAGCACAGTTTGTGACCCTCACAGCTGAGCCTGTGCTGGCCCAGGAAGGAGCTGTGGCTTGAACCAGCCCTGAACCAGGAAAGTCTGCTCTCCAGGTGTGTAGGGGAAAGGGGAAGCGTCTGTGTGTCCCCTGCCAAAATCACACTGTCCCCACCATCGCAGGAGGGCTCATAATTAACCCTGAGATTAGCTCAGCTGGTTAGAGCCCAGTGTTAAAAATGCCAAGGTTGTGGGTTCAGTCAGGTTCAATCAGGGTTCAATCCCTGAAAGGGCCATTTGCTGAAGAGCTGGACTTCAAGACCCTGGTGGGTCCCTTCCAACTCAAAATATTCTGTGATCTGAAGAAATGTTTCCATCCCTGCTGAAATCCTGCCTGGCATGGCAAGAGCGAAGGCACGTGCCAAGTGCCTGGAGATAATGCTCAGGTGACAGAGCTGCTGTGAGAAACCCAGGAGCCACCGGGGAGGCAGATGTGCTGTATAAATAATAACACCGTTGGGGTTGCCCAAATTATCCTATTTAAACAAGAAACTTTCTATGCACCCTAGAGGAAAGGGATGCACAGCGTGGCAGCAGGAAAGGGAGGATGGAGGTGACATTCCAGCAGGATACAGTGAGTGGCACAAAGAGAACCCCAGACTAACAACCAGGGGGAGGAGGGCACAGAGTGCTCTTGCAAGAGAGCCCATTCCTCAGCTGGTGTCCCTCTGTGCTCCCTTTCCCAGTGTCCTGGAGCCCTGAGAACCCCAGGGCCGGGAGGGAGATGCCACCTTTCTGCCCCTGGGGGAAGCGGGGGCAGGACTGGGGGAAGATGTTGCCATTGATGCTCCTGCAGCTCCGGCTTTGCAGGGACGGGCGATGCTGGGAAGCAGCAGGGATTCAGTTCTTTGCCCCATCTCAGGCAGCAGCAACAGGAAATCCAGGAGCTCTGTGAAATGACAGGGAGGGAGAGAGAGTGAAGTCCCCTTGCCTCGACTGGTGACGTCTCTCCTTCCTCCTTTTTTTTTTTTTTCCTGTCCCTATAAAGAATCTCGGGCTCGCATCAAACTTCCCGGCGAAAGCCAAGCGAACCCAGAGGGGTGTGGGGAGAGGGAGAGAGCAGCACGCCCGGGGGCTCCGGCCATGCCCCAGCCCCGCCGCCCGCCCGGGCCCCGCGCGGTGCCCCCCGGCAGGTAGAGCCCGGTGGGGCCACGGCAGCTCCCGCTGCTCCTGCCCTTCTGGAGCCGAGAGACCCGTCCCTCCTGCCGACCTCCGCAGCACCTGCACCTCTCTGCATAAATACATCCAAGAAGAGGCTTTGCGGTGCAACCACCTTATCCCAAACTCCAAGCAAAGGACTGCCGGGAGCAGCGACTCGCTGAGTGGAGGAAACTTTTTGCCAAACTTTTTTCTAGTGCTTTTCCTTCGCTTTTTAACCCCTTGAGTTACTCAGCACCAGCCAGGAGGGCCGGGGAGGCTTCTGAAGCAGAGCAACGCTCCCCTCAGGCACCCCAGGGATTAGAGAAACAGGAGAAAAGGAGGAATAAGGTTATTGTGGAGAAGGTGGGAAGAAAAAACTAAGAACTCGCACCTCGAGAAGAAAGGAAGGAAAACACACTCTGCAGCCCCAGGATGAAGCAGTGAATGGAAAGAACAATTTAACTGGAATCAACAAGTGGGAACTTCTGCACGCCTTGTCCTTCCCCTCCCTTCCCGCTGCAGCCCGCGGGCTTTCACAAACTTATTGCTGGAAAAGAAAACTTGTCTCGGACCGCGGACCTCGCCTCGCACGGGATACAGAAGTCACTGGCACTGGCCCCGGCGATGCTGCCCAGGCCGAGCGCCGTCCTGGCCGTCTGTGCCCTTCAGGGGCTGCTCCTGCTGCACGGTAAGAGCGGGCACTGCCCCTCCTCTCACCTGCGGGACGGGGGCGCGGGCAGCGCGGGGGGCGCGGGGTGCGGACCCGTCCGGGTACCGCCGGTGCGCTCCCTCGGGGTGCCTGAGGAGAGCGCTCCGTGATGCTTTTTGTGCTTTTTTGACGCTTTTTTCGCTCCTGCGGAGCCCCGCCGGCCCGAGCGGCCCGGGGAGGTGTCACCCACCTCGCACCCGCGGTACCCACTGGGCAGGTGCCGCCTTTCTGCCCCCAAACCCGTCCCTGACGCCTCAAGTTTCACATATTTCACATGAAAACTGATCTTTGAAAGTAAAGGTTAAAAAAAAAAATGACAACTCCTTGAAGGTGTCGCGTGTATGGCTGATGCTTTTTTCCTCTCGAGGTTTGGACGCTTGGTTAAAAATAGCAAGTTGCGGGGATTTGCCAATTTGTGGCTTTTTCCCCTCCGTGTGGGAGGGTTTCTGGTTGTATTTGATCGTTTGAGGCAGAGCTGAGGTAGAAAAGGCTTGAAAAGGAGGAGCTGTGGTGTGTCTGGGAGTGCCCGGGCTATCCCGCTGTCCTGGAGCTCACGTCAGAGCTGTGGGCACAGACACTGTGGGCAAACCCCGATTCTTTTTGATATTCCCATTCTTATCCTTTGATATTTCAGTTTTCATTCACATGGTGTTTCTCTGCTGCCTTCCCCTTCTCAGCACAGGTGCCAGCTTAGATTCCCCGTTCTCCAAAACTCATTTTCCTTGCAGCAAACGCACTGTCCCCCCGGATTCATTCCCGATTTTCGCTGATATCAGAAAAGCCAAGAGGCAGGTTAATGAGATTTAGAGGAGCTTTTCCATCTGCCGTATGACTTTTCATTATCTCATTAAGCATGAGGATTTTGCTGGATTACTGAGCCATTCATTCATGACGCTGCAAATTGTGTAAGGGAGATGGTCTGTTGTTTACTGGGGAATTCCTTCTGACAGAAAGGCTTTTTTATTATTTTGAATAGGGAATGTATTTCACAGCACATGGTTGTTGCTGCTTTAGCATATTATAATCTTTTCATAGTTAAGAGGATAGCTTCTGGAAACACCAGGAAGCATCACTGTCCTTGATTTTCTTGGATTCATTTGGGGATTTAATGTATTCTCTCTGCAGAAAAGAACTGATTGGTGGGCACCAGTCCCAGCGAACTTCACATCTCCCCTGCAGTACCTTCCCCACAGTTACCTGCAGAATAAATAGCTAAGCCTGTGCTCCAAAGGGCTTGCCCAGCTTTTCCAGGAAAAGCTGAAGCAGCAAACCTAGCAGGTGCAAAGGAGCCCCTCCACCGCAGGGATCCCTGTGACCCACAGTGCCCATGGAACCCCAGGGAAGGTGCCCACATTACACCCCAGGGAAGCCAGTCCTGTACCATGTCAGACACCAGCACCCACAGCTTGAGCTGCACCTGGAGTGGTGTCGGAGCTCCCTCAGCCTGGGAGGGTTCCCACACTGTGCTCCATCTGGCTGACACGTGCAGGAGCAGCCAGCTGCATGCTACAGGAATTCCAACGTCTGGATAGGCTGGAGAAGGTGCCCATAGAAGGCTTATCACCAGATATCCAGCGTGGATTGCATAAAGGCATAAATCACCATGGAATTCTGTGGATTACAGAGGGATAATAACAAGTTTTTGGGAGATGGGAGGAAACGTGGCTTGCCACGAGTGTTCCTGAGGCTGCAGGGTGAGGTGGAGCACAGTGAGGTTTTTACTGAGGAGGTGGGGAACAGGCAGAGATGCTGCCCACATTTCAGGGCTGCTCAGGTCCTTACTCACCAGATTCCTGTCCTAGTAATTCTGACCCTAATAACCTTGGAATTTGGTTGAGATTCGTTTTCCCATCAGTGCCAGGCACAGAGGAGGCCAAGAGAAGGCAATGCCTGCATCCTGTGACAAAGGAAGGAAGGCACATCCCTAACTGTCCCCGTAGGCAGAGTGATGATGGACTTGGAAGCAGCGTAATGGATGTCAGAGCCCTGTCCATCATTAGGGAGAGATAACACATTAGCACAGTCTCTGGGTGCCCTAATTAGGCTGGAAGCCAACATGAGACAGGGCCAGGAAGTCTGAGGATTCTGGATAGCACTGATGCTCTTGAGGTATTAACTCCTCAGCCACTTTTCCCTCAGAGTTCACCTCCAGCAACAAACTCAAGGAAACTCTGCTTGACCTGCCAAGTCCTGGATCTGTCCTGCAGGCTGGGGGTCAAACCCCCTCTGGGATCTTTGTGGCCAAAGTTAGGCAGAGTTGTGCTGAAGAGGCTGACTCTGATTCCAGTCCAAACAATTCCATCTGCAATGCAGAGAGAAGGAGAGTGGTACAACTGCGAGAGCTGCTCAGGACCGAGGTATCAACTCCTCAGACACCTTGTCCTCAAAGTTCATCTCCAGCAATGAAACTCTGGCCATTAAATTTATCCAGCTCAAAGGATGGTCTTCTTTAGAGAACTCCTGGCTTATTTGGTGCTTTCAGCAGGGGGAAGAGACCATACAAACACCATCCCAATAACTGCCCACCTTATTATAAAATACAGCTTTAAATACATCTTTAGATTTCTAAGACAGTTCTATGAGTATCATTAAATTTCCACTTTCCTTTTTCTTATTACACAGCTCATGTTCAACTCCTTGGAGTACTAGTTAGGGTCTTTCTGCTCAGAACCTTTGATGTAGTAATTATTGTGCAGGTGCCAACAGCTGGCCCATGTTTTAGGTAAGGAGTGGGATGGTTAATAATCAGCCCTTTGAAAAATAATCTGCAGAGAAATTGTTACATGAGCGACACCTTAAATTGTGCATGAAAAATTTAGCATCTTTTACCCCCTGACATTATCATCAAAAAGGTTTTCAATATGTGAGCAGTCCAAGTAACTCTTCAGGTATTGGAATAAATTCAGTGGTTTAATACCGGGAAGTATTAAAGATTGAAGAATAAAAATGAGGTCCTGCCCAATCCCTTTGAAATTAAAGCATGTTTGAAACTGAATTTTTTTGTTTGTTTAATTGTGCAATGTCTTCTACAAGTAGAATATACATGTTAACATGTATTTCAATTTATTCAGTTATACCACGTATCAATAGCCGAGTCAGAGGCTTCGGAGCTCGGACTCCTCCTGGTTTTCCAACTGGGATGGTCACTGTGTCCAGCTGGGATGAGTGTGGGCTCAGTGGTGCACAGTGTCAGAGGCACTGAGGGGTTGCTTTTGGGTTTCCTTAAGGCAGCTGGTGCTGCCCAGTTGAGAGTGGGGGTATCTGACAGCACAGGCTGTTGATGGGCTTGGGTAAACCAAAACTGTGTCTCTTAATTGGTGTTATTCCTAGACATTTGCTTTACTGTGGGAAAATGTTATAAAAAGCAGAGAAGCCTTTTTTTAAGATGGTGATATATGAGCCTCCTGCTGAAGCTGCCACATTCAAAACCAACTGGAAATCTCTTTACCCTAATTCATCCATTTAAGGCAAGGAAAAAAATGTGAAGTATTTCTGAATACTCCCTGAACTTCTAAAAAACAGCACCGTACCCAAAAGAATACTGGGGTTTGTTGAAGGTTTCTGTTATAAGAACTTTTAATATTTCCTTTGAAAATTGTAAAAAGGATTTATCTGTGCACATTTCCCCCCATTGGTCTGCTCCTACATATAGATCTGAGTAAGAGCAACAGGGGCCACTCAGGTTATCTCTGTCCTTTCACACATTCCCTAAATTGTTCATTTTATGATTAAATATTGCTTGTGCCAAGCAATAGCTCACTCTACTGCAGTTTGAAGTGATATATTGTTGGGCCGAATAGAGAATATTTATGTTGCTGGTAGATTTATGCACCAGGGCAAAAGGTTTCCAACCACAACAGGAGATTTCTTAGGTACAGTCAGTGGTAGGTGATCTGTGCTTTTGGTAAGTTTGGCTTCCAAATTGCCAGCGCAGTTTGAAGGAGGGTGAAAACCTGCCCCATTTTCAGAGACGAGACACATCTTTTGCTTCCAGAGATATTTGCAAAGTATATGCAGCAAGGGTCACTTGATCATCAGCAAAGGACAGGGTGAACAAAGAAACTGCTTTCAGTTTACATTGCAAAACAGTTTTGGGGGCAGCAACAGCAACCTGCATTTTTTAAAACTACACAGGAAATTTCCAGGAGGCAGCGCTTGACTTTCAAAGAGAGTATGAGAAGGACACCGAAGCACAGCCTTACCAAACCTCACATGCTCAGCTTGATATTTCCTCTGATCAGTCCTGCCCCACCTTTCCTTTTCTCCCTACACCAGCCTGATGTCACTGGAATGGGAATTACCAGTGGAAGTAATTAAAAGATATTTGGAGTATCTAAACAAGAGCTGGGAATGAAATAAATGTGTCCCTAGTGTTTTCCTTCAGAAAGCAGCTCAGATGACTGACAGGACATGAAGGTTCTGAGTGCCAATCAGGATATTCCTGCTCCTGCAGTGCTCTTTGGGAAGAGCATCTAACTGTCCTCAGTCACAGCCCCCAAGAAAAATTGGCCACCCAGATCAGCTGGCATAGAACGTGTGTAATAGAGTACTGATCTCCTCACCACGTCAGGCACTTCTTTAATTTTCCTTTTTAAGGCCACAGGGAAAACAGGAGGAGCTGCCAAAGCGAACCAGCCGAGGTTGTTATCTGGAAATGGCATTTAACAGAAGTGCCTGCTCGAGGCTTGCCCCAGGGAGCAGGACTGAGCAGCAGAGAGCTGCAATCACCAGGAGCCAGGCAAGGTTAGAGCAAACCACGGGCATCACGGTGTGCCCTCAGAGCCTTGTCCATGAGCTGCTGCCTCAGTGGGGAGGAGGAAGGTGCAGAGGAGGGAGGGAGCCTGATCTCATGAGGCCGTGATGAGCAAAACTGATGGCTGCCCACTCTGTGCAAATCCCTCATTGCTGAGTGCTGGACAGGCTTCCAAAGGCTCTGGAAATGTAAGCAATGAATTTATGTACTCAGAGAGCTGAGCTGT